AAAAAAAAGGGGAGAAGAGAGATATACTCACCTGGTTCTCGGTGACTGCTCACCTCTCTCTCCCTCCACTCCGGCCGTGGAATCTCCCTCAGCGTTCTAATGTCCACTGCAAGTGAATGGACATGATGATGTCACGGGCCCTTAGACCACCAGACCCTGGGGAAGAAGAGGCTGCAGAGCCCAGTCAAGAAGCCAGAAGGGACCAAAGATCGGGTGAGTTTATTTTTTTTTTCTTTTAGAACCTAGACCAAAACAAGGAGTAGCCCCACATCAAGGGTTAAAATTTAAGTTGCCCGGAGTTCTTCTTTAAAGCAGAATTCCAACCAAAAATACAAGATCAAAAACATAAAACAAAACCAGATTTTGATACAATATTCAGCTTCAATCCAGAGATTGTCTGACACACTATACGTCTGTTTTCATTCAACCCACTTCCTCTGAGCCCAGGCTGTTCTATACCTGCTCCACCAGCCCATGACTGGACAGTGAAAGAAGAAGCAGCACAGCGATGAGCTCATCTCTCTGTCTCTTCCTATCAGCACTGATTGGTTCCTTGTTCTTCTGCGTCTTCCTTTCACACTCCAGCCTTAATGTACAGGGACTGCAAGAGCCCAAATCCAGGTACTTACACTTCTTGAATAAAAAATAAAAAAACCTGCATTTAATGATTATTAATGAAACACAAGACAGACAGCGCCCTCTCCTAGTGTAAAAACGTTTATTTTAAAGAGTATAAAAATATCTTCCATAATAACTACTCACATTGAGGCGAGCAACAAATTGGCAAACAGATGCCAGAGACAACCAATTAGCTGATGCGTTTCGGGGGACCTCCCCCCTTCCTCATTTTTAGACATGGGGGCACGTGTTTTTCCCCATAGTTCTCCTCAGGGTCACAGGAGGACACAAACTAGCGTCCCAAAGCTCAGTATACTGCGAGCTACAGCTTGCGGTAAACTGAGACCGCCGCAGCCAGGACCGATCCCTACATTACTGTCGAGATCCACCCAGCTGCG